GTTTGACTTGGAGGAGTTATCTCAGTCCATGAGGGCTTTTTCAGAAGTTGGCTCTTAATTTAGCTGATTAACTCGACAAAATCTCACTTGTGCCTTAAGTTTTCCTTCAGCTGTCTGCTCAAGTGGACTTCACTCTCTGTACTCCTCCAAATTCTCAAGAGGGCCAAATCCCGGGTTTATGTTTACAAATCATCCATTTGGCTGATGTTGATTGATGTTCAGAGAGGGATAAATGGTATAGCCTGATACTGGATTTTTGAGGCTAATACCTATTTGTGAGTTTAAAAAATGGATAACATTATATTGGCCAATTTTTGCATTTTGTACCGTAATTACTTGTTACTTATTAGCTGAATAAACAGATATGGCTGATTTAACTCTAATCTAACTCTATTAAGTGGTCTAGTCATTGGAAGGTGGATACGGAAGTTGAATTGTCATGAAGTTAGCGATACATTTTACAGACAAAAATGTCTCTCAAGTAGTTTTAAAAAGTCACAAATCTTGTTATTAGAATGGTTCTTTATCTATTTGTTATGGTACACTTGTTTTAATTTATAATATCCTGGATTTATATTGAAAATCAGTGCTTTGATAATCATTTTACTTGCCTGACCCAAAATCTATTCATCGACTCCAGCCTGTCCAAAACTCAGCTGCCATGTTTTTAACCAGAACAGAAAAACGTGAACACATCACTCCTGTTTTAGCATCTTACACTGGCTCACAGTATGTTTTAGAATAGATTTTAAAATTTTACTGATTACTTTAATGGCTCTCCATGGCCTCTCTCCCTGCTATATCTCTGACCTTTTAGTACCGTAAGCACCAGCACGTACCTTGAGATCCTCGGGCAGAGGTCTGTTGTCTGTTCCAGAGGCCCGACATAAAACTGAAGGGGACAGAGCGTTTGCTGTCAGGGCCCCGAGGCTCTGGAACAGCCTGCCTGAGGAAATCAGGTCGGCTGAGTCAGTGAACTCTTTTAAGTCTTTTCTTACATAGGAGAGCTATACCTGATTTTAGTTGACTTTCTTTTTCTTTTCCTTTAACTATATTTTAATTCCTTAAATGGTTTTATCTGTTTCTTGTGTTATCTAAAAACAATGTTATTAATTTTATTGTCAGCAAAGCACTTTGCAACATTGATTTTGAGTGCTCTATAAATAAAGATTATTATTATTATTATTATTATTATTATTATTATTATTATTATTATTATTATTATTATTATTTATTATAGTGGCTGTATTAAAGGGGAACTCTAATAATATGTAAAATAAAGTTGTATGAATCCTTTTGTGCCTCCAGAGGATTCTCTGGAGGCACAAAAGAAAAAGTCTGATAAATTGCCTCACTTGATGTCACTTGAGTCAGAGTTGGCTGGGGCCAGCCTGAATCTCTGACCAAACTGTCTGCAGTCAGGTTGAGGGTACACTGTAAAAAAAATCTGTAATTTTACAGTTATATTCCTTTTTATTTGACAGATTATTACTGTAGTACTGTATATTGAAATACATGAAAATATAAAAAAAAATACACAACAAACTATGAATGAAAATGTAAAATAACACGAAAAACCTGTAGCTGTGAATAGCCATAACATTTCTGTTATTTTAAAGAAAATAGTTTTTTTTACAACTGTTCTAATGCATTCAGGAATTTACCGTATTTTCACAAATATTATTTGTCTTATTTAAAAGAAAAAACTGTTAAATTTAAGTTTAATACTGTAAAAACATTTTTTAAACTTGGTACAATTAGTACAGTAACAGTTAACTGTAACAAAAAACATGTGTTCTGTAATTTGACATAGATTTGCTTGTTAATTGACATTTATCTTCTTAAATTATGGATATTTGGGAAATAAAAACATTGAATAAATGTTATTTTAATCAGTGTAATGTCTACCAGTATTGTTAAACTGTCAAAACACAGTTTTGATAATTGAAAACAGCCATAATTACTGTAATTTCACAGATGTTGACTTTCATCAAAATTCTTAGATTACAAATTAGATTAAAATAACTTCATGCACAATCCAAAGACTTCATCATTTTCTGGATTCAGTATGACTTTTTACAGCCAGTTTTTGCATCTGGTAAATGTTGTCACAGCTGTATGTGTTTCCGTGTGCTGTGCATTCATGTTCCTTTTCTGTCCTCTAGTTCTACCCCAGGAGTGCTACAGCCGATTGCTGAATTAGGTCCGCCTGGCCTTGGAAGGCAGTGCACAACTGTGTGCACCTGAGTTAGGGAAGTCCACAATATCTACATTAAGTTGGTATACAAAATAGATGCAAATATGTGCAAGTAGAAAGAAAAGTGGGAATGTGATACAAACACAACTCAAGCAGAGAATTTACCTAAAATTCAATGTGAATTCAAACTCATCTTCTTAAAATGGTTTGAATAATACCTATTCAAACAACCTATCAAACACCGGCTGGCTGTAGCTCAATCACTGTAGAATATATGCATGTTTTTCTTGGCAGTCCTAATGAATCCGAAGTTTTTGGTACGCAAGCCAAAAGTACATTTTCAGATTCGGCTCACTTTAAGAAACCATTTTGCTTCTCAAGGTAGCTCAATTGGAAAACATAAACAACGGCAAACATAACAAACAGCATATCTATCCAAGGTCTGCAAGTTTCCCTTTATAATGGTATGGTGACAAAATTATGGACATGTGTTAGTCCATAGCCCTCCCCACAGAATTAGGGACGAACTCAAGTCAGGTGGCTACCGTCGTTAATACAAATATTAATGTTTAAACGTATGATCAATATGTCAATATGAACATGGTGAACAATACCACTGTTAAGTTCATTTAACGGAAACAACAAGACCCAAAGTCTAATTCTTCTAGATATACCGGTGTAACCTGCATGGCTACAAGAGAGGAAAAGGGGGAGAAAGTGCTGACTTACGTTAACATTGAAGCGCTTCTTAAGCTGCTCGTTAAGTCCGAATGTGTCCTTTCCTTGATTATTTATCTTCCTTTAGTCTGTCTTTCATAAAAATGAATCCAAGTTGTGAATCCTGTCATGTGAAGTCCATCGCTCTCTGTCTGCTAACTTCTCTCATCCTGCACCGTGTTGTTGTTTTCAATAGGTTGCTGCCTTCAAAATAAATGCGCATAAGCCGTCTGTCAGAACTAGATCAAATGAATGACGTGTATTTGATATTATTTGATCATTTTTACGGAAGTATTATTCTGTTTGAAATAAATAAACTTTTGATAGTAGTTTCAGTTTTGTGCAAAACGAATTAAAGGCCTGTCTCATATGGATGCCTGTCCCAAATAAAGGCAGGGTCAATTCAGTGATTTTAGCAAATAAAAGCTCGGGCTATTATTCAAAGTTTTACGGTATTTGTATTATAGCAGTGTTCAACTATTTTTGTAGGTAATTTAATTGTTTTTGCAGGTGTATAGGTTCTTCAATTAACATTAAAATCCCCAAAATTACAATATTTTTTGTAAAATGAAATTTACAAACTGTATTGTCATTATGGAATATTACCGTACTTTTACGAGTTAGTTATTTACTGCTATTTTATGGTATTTTTCAGGCACCCCAGCTGCCAGAATATTTCCATATTTTTAAGAGTTAGTTACTTACTGTTAGTTTACCGTATTTTTTTGGCACCCCAGCTGCCGGAATAACACAATAATAATAATATAATATCACAATTTTGTTTTTTACAGTGTAATGTAGACGCCAGATTTTGACTAGGAAGAAGAATATCTCTCAATCCTCTCTGCTCTCTAAACAACCCTATTGTTCTCTGTTTCCGGATTTTGATGGACAGACAATTTTTTAAATTCCATTAATACGACATGGATAGTTTAGACATCAGGGTGCGCAGTAGGTCTATGGCATCTTGGCAAAACTTTCAACAACACATGATATTTGTAGCATGCAGCAGTGTTAACAAAATCACATTTTCTTGTAATATATGCGACAAGTTATTTAAACAACTAATTATCTGAAAAAGCAAGCTACCAGCTGAAACCGCTTAAAACCTGTGAATTCGGTAATTGATTTATTGTCACAGTAGCTACAGATGATTCATTCATTTTTACTGTCCATTGACTAATTGACCTCTTTTGTCAGACTTCTTGGCCGATATCAATTACTAAATAAGAAAGAGAACACTCTCACTGTGAGGTTAGTTTTGTCTGTTTTGGTGATATTGGTGCTAAGTACTCATTGCCATGGTGCCTGTGCACTGCACTTCCCAGAGAGCGTCTTTAAATCACACAGTGTGGGTGGTACTTTGATTCTGCAGTTGAAGTTTGAATTTCTTGTGGTTTTGTTCTTTTCATGGCTATTGCTGCTCATGCTATCGTCCCAATCCGTCTTCTTTTGATTGAAGTGCTTAGCTTAAAGGGGTCCTGTGGAGTTATCTTGTAAACAAGCAAAAGATAAGTTTTCATTCAGTGTTACTCACCAAAACGCAGTGTGTGTGTCCTTCTAACAAAAGTCTAACAAAATAATTTTTGGAGTATCCAGAATTGTTTACATTCAGTCTACGAGTTTGCATTGCTCTTCTTTCCTGTCTTTACTGGCACATTGCAGCATATCTTGGCACGTTACCATCACCTGTTGATTTGTGGAATAGTGTGACACCAGTGGCAGGACTGTGTATCATGTCACACGCATACACGAGATAAACAAAACGTGGACCCACACATAGAAAACCAGCTCCATAGTGCTACTAGAGGTCTAAAACTCCAACTGAAACCTTCAATGGCCTTATACTGTATGTAAAAGTCCTGAATTCCTGTGAACCAAAAGAAAAACCCACACCTGGTATTTCAACAAGCTGTAAAAGATTCCAACAACTGAGTATACATTGTTTCATGTGAAGGAGCCATTATGTGAAAATAAAAACTGACTTGATGTGAGCATTTGTAGGTTGTGTGAGGCGGACGCCTTCTTGTCTGTGGCTGAGTTTGAGGAACATTGTGTTTCATGTGCCCACCTCTCTGTCTTGCAGGCGGAAATCGTCAAAAGGCTGAACGCAATCTGTGCCCAAGTCATCCCCTTCCTCTCTCAGGAGGTAAGACTCCAAAAATGCCTGTCACTGTGAGTTAAGACGGAGGTGGGTGTGAGAGAGAGAGAGAGAGAGAGAGAGAGAGAGGAGGAAGACAGATAGGAGCTATAGAAGAAATAGAAGGAGGAGAAGTGTGTGGTGGATTGTGAGGCAAAACAGACAGATAATGGAGAGACACACGCATGCACACAGCTACACACACACACACACACACACACACACACACACACACACACACACGCAGATTATCCTGAGTTAATCCTTCCTTGCTCGGGATAGGCAGATATGCTCGAAACTTATTAAATGTCTCCCACTAACATATGCACGAGCCAGGGGCTGGGTGAGTGTGTGTATGTGTGAGAAAATCATTTTGTATGTGAGTTTATTTTGTGCGTGTGTTTTGTATGTTTGTCCACCTGCATGCACGTAAAATACACTGTAAATGTTTGCACGCACACTAGTGTCTTTTATACAGTATGTTTATTATGGAATCTTTAGGTCTGCATGTGCGTGTTTAGCTGATAAATCCTCTGGAGGAGTTGAAAGTGTGTGTGTGTGTGTGTGTTTGTGTTGAGGGGTGGGAACAGCAGGAAGGAGTGAGTGTGGACTCCAAAACTCTCCTCCAGATTAGCCATGGATTAGGAGGGTTTAGGGTGGATTAGGAATAATGGCATTAGACTGTGGTGCTGCTACAGAGCCCTGAGGCCCGCAGAGAGGGGAGGCAGGGAGAAGGAACGGCTTTTACCGCTTTGTTTTGATGCACAGCCTCGTTTACTGCGTGTGCATATGAAATGTAGCACAATCATATTATTATTGTGCAGCAAATCACATCGACTGTGTTTGTGTGTGTTTGTGAGAGCTCTTTTGTTTTTTATTTATGTAATTTTGCCATTATTGTTCCTCCTCGCAGTTTGGACATGTAGGATGATATATTATATATATATATATATTTTTACCTGTATAACGATCAATATCAGAATTATGCCTAATGCATTTGTGCATAATTGTTCATATAGGTAGTGTTTGGTCGCACATCTTAAATACTAGTGGTAACATAATTGTAGCCTCATCACAGTATCAAAGAATTCTGAATCCTGGATCATAGTCTTGTTATGCTCACCTCTTGATCTGATATTTCTTGACTTAAATTGTGATTTTTGCCAAATTTATACTGCATTCTCTTTAGGCAAAGATGTTGTTGTTCATGTTCTTTTTTTTGTAAAATAGTGTTTGTGCTCAGCAAACAGTTAAATTAATTAAAGAAATGTTTCAGTGTGTTCAGTGTATCACCAGTATTGGAGTATGTTTTCAACCAACACAGCCTTAAATCTGGCATAATTTAGCCAGACTGATATAATAAATTTGGCAATTTTGTCTATTTAAATGTGACAATCAGAAGCCAATTTTTTAGTGGATCTAATTAAAATCTTATTTTATGTAGTTTTCTAAAAGTCTTTGCAATGATTGCTGCAAGCTTTTGATATTTACAGTCGCGTGTTCTATTGCAACAGTGTAAGTATTACAGTCTTTACATGGAAGCTTATAGTGATCCAGCTACTGTACTTTTTTTCTGCGTTGAAGTCATTTGTGTTCATCACCCCTAGCTATTGCAGATGCTTGGAAACAGTGTTTTAATAAATCCTCTGTGTTTTTATTGTTTGTTTCTGCATCAAGTATCATCTTACAGTAAAGGTAACCACTAAACTTTAATGGCAATGTGATTTATCCGATTTGTTAATTGTTGGTTATGGAATTTATTGTGTCCATCCTAGGGTCTATAAGTATCTATGTCTATTAAGAATTATTGATAATAATGGTATAAGAGCTATTTGCCAATACAATACACTGTAAACACGTGCACATAGTGGTTGTGAGAAGTGAATTATTGATAATAATGGTATAAAAGCTGTTTGCCAACATTCGTCCGACCGATGGATCTTTTCATGTGTGTGAGTCACGTCAGGCAGGTCGGACTCAGTCTGCAGAGGTGTAGCTGAACTCGATGGTCAGGTTCATTTCCACACCGGATAAGCTCTTTCATCTCTGCCCTACTTTGATGTTTTGCGCTCTCGGATGAATCTTGCTGCTCTCTCTCTCACCGTCTGGATTTGTCTTTCTCACTCTGTACCCTTTGGATGACTTTGCCCAGTTAGCTACCTGTCTCTCTGGCTGTCTCTTTCTCTTTCTGTCTGCACAGATGTCTGTTTTTTCTGTATTGAAGATTTTACAGCTACACTATTTTGAGATGTATGAGCACAAAACGGACAACAGACTTGCATAGAATTTGTGGATTTAGCTGTTGTGCCATCAACATATGACTGTAAATTGAAAAAACGGGGAATGTTTCACTACCCCAAAAGTGAATCATCATCTCCAGCACAGAGTACATGCATACAATGATTTACTCTATAAGCTTGCAGGATCTCTTACACTGGGCTTCATTAGATAATGTAGGTGTTTATATCACGATGTTTGGCCACTTGTGCTACAGTATGTCTTGGACCCATTTAACTGGCCTATTCACGTTACACCAACAAGCATACCCTAATTAGCTACTGATTTTTTTTCTGTCCAGTGAGTTTTAATTAACACACTGGTTAGGATTAAATTATGAGGAGAGGTACTTGTTTTCCATACAAAGAGCAAGCAGCATTGATGACTCAGAGGTGTCTCAGGTTCTTGTCTGATGGCATTTAAACTGTTCAGAGCCGCAGATTTCAGTGGGAAATAAGATGGCAGATGCTTTCGTCCAGAAACTGGTGAGGAAAAATATATCTTGTTCAAGTACAGTAAGATATTATAACTCACTCTGTTTCAGCACATTTACAGCTGATTTAATGAGACGTCAACAGTTTGTCAGGTTTTATGACAAGTGCGTTGCTGATTGATTGTTATCGGTCAGTCTGGTAAAGTGGGCGTCTAACTGACGACTGCCATTTAGCTGTTGATCTGTTAGATAGGAAAGCAGATTTGTGATGGAAAAAAGCATCACACAGAAAGAAATCCTGAACAGATATGAGGTAGTAGCTGATTCACAGTTGTGCAGATAGTCTTTTGTGATGTCCTGTATTAGGTAAATAATTCATATTCATTTACAGCAGAGACTTATGTAGGAGGAATACATTTTTAATGCTCTTGATGTAGTTTCATGTGTTTGTCCATGGAGGTCATAATCATAAACCTTTTTTAAAATCCAGATGTCTGAATTGCACAGATCTTCTTTTCTCTGTCTCAGTTGCTGCTTCAATATCATACTTTCTTTGATTGCCACTGTTTCTCTCCCAGCATCAGCAGCAGGTGGTGCAGGCGGTGGAGAGAGCCAAGCAGGTCACCATGGCTGAACTCAACGCCATCATAGGAGTGGGTGTATTGCACACACACACACACACACACAGAGTAATGGGAGATAGTGTAAGACTCAACAACTAATGTTGAAAAAGGGGGATGACAACAGATAAAAACAGCTTTAAACAATAACTTCTAATGCTAAATGAGAAAGACATGAATGGAAAGATGTGTCGTGTTTGTTTTTTGATCGTTCACCAAAGTTCAATAAATTTTTTTTAGCTTCGATGAGTCTTTGATGTGATACTGCAGCCTATAACTACTGAGATTTATAATGTGAAAAATAGGCTTAGAGCTGTGGATTTACTGCACATCGGCATGGCAGATATCCAGAGTGTTTGGCGTGTATGTAGACCAATAAGCAACAAGAAATTTCAGTACAGAAGTGAAACAGAAACAAACTGTATGTTTGAGGTTGAGGTGTCACTAGTTTATTTTTCAACTGCCTTGTACAAATCTTGCGTTACATTTTACTAACTAAATTCAAAGGATCCTTATCAGAAATGTTAATTTACTTTTATTTTATTTTTTTTAAATCTCCTCTAATAACCAGTACATGTAAGTATTTAGAAGTTTCAGGTACCATGCGCTGGTCCTACTGTTAGTTTTTCCTTCTGTGGCTCTCATTTTATCTCTCCCTCTCCTCAGTTCTCCTTCCTGTCTTTCTCTGCCACTTGTTTGTCTTATACTGTCGAGAGTGCTTTAAGTCAAAATGTAGCATTACAGTAATCGTTATTTTTGTGTGGTTCAGCAGCAGCAGCTCCAGGCTCAGCACCTCTCCCACGGCCACGCCATCCCCATCCCACTCACGCCACACCCAGCGGGCCTCCAGCCCCCCCTGCCCCCTGGGGCCGGTACTGCCAGCCTGCTGGCTCTATCGTCCGCTCTGAGCCACCAGCTGCCGCTCAAAGACGAAAGGAAACACCACGACAACAACAGTGAACACCCGAGAGGTATGTGTGTGTACAGTAGGTGTTTATGTGTTTATGGCTGTGTGTGTGTAGGTGTTGGAGACTTCATGTCTGCTGTAAGTTTTAGCATGCATTACTTATGTGTAAAAAAAAGTCACAATTTGAAGTTTTGTTTTTGTTTGGTTACTTCCTTTTTTTTATTTAATACAGAAATAACTTTAATTCTACTTTACTGTCACATCTAAGAATGATGCAACAACTTGGAGGGCAATCTATAACTCTTTACCAAATAGTTGCATCAAACTTAATTTTATCTTATCCTTTCCACTGTTGAAATTTCTATTATGTCACATTCTTGCATCATGTTACTATAAATAAGAGCTTTATTAGATTGCTGTAAATCTACATTTTCATGTCTACTCTCCTCTCTTACATTCACTGACTAGATTGTTTATCTAGTGAAAAGGTGTATATACCCTTCTAAAATATAATTTTGTTTGTCTGAGATGTTTTAAAAATCCAGACAAACATGTCAATATTTAATAGAAATTGTACAAATGTGCTGTTTTATTCATAAGAAGACGCTTAATGCATTTAATAAATATAAATACTGAAGCTGTTATCTTTTGTTCAGTTAATGATCCCAAACTAATTATACATGTCTGGAATATTGTGCCAAAGTTAAGAATTATACCACCACTGGCTGATGCTTAATTGTTAGTACTCTGAATGAACAGCAGTTAAAGCAATTAAAACCTGATTTGTCATTATGCCATTTTAATTAGACTAATAAGGACCGATACAAAACCACCATGATGCCTCTTTTCTCTGGGTCTCTTCAACTCTTTTTATTCTTCTCCGAGCTGACTTTGAGCTCAAGCATTCAATTACAGTACAAAGAGACTGTGTGTATGTGGGTGTGTGTGTGTGTGTGTGTGTGTGTGTGTGTGATCATGTGAACATTGTGTGCCAGCTCTTAATTACTCTCTTGCAGCATGACTGTGGGGTTTTATAGAGTGCAGTAGAGCAGTTAACCTTGCCCTTTAGCTGCAGTAAAGCTAACAGCTGCTAACTCAGGTAATGCCTACCCCCATTAGGAGAAATAATCAATAACAATCCAACTCCATCTCTAGCTGAGTTCCTGTGAATGGGTGTGTGCTGGATGGAGGGAATAAGAGGTTTCTTTATTTGTCCTTTTAGTCTTTATAAATGCATTTCTTTGTTCTAATGCATGTTGTTGCCAAATCTAGTGTCATTTGACTCCCTGGGCTCCTTGATTTACAAATCCATCAGCTTTTTGGACACGTGTATGTGTACATGCTAGTATGTACATTTAGGCTACTAACTTGTCTAATACAAGCATCCCTGATGATCACAGCACTTTCATTGGAAAGGTGCAGTTTCTTTCTCTGCTAAGAATGGAGTGCTGTAGCAAATGTGACCTAATGCCATCAGTATAATTATGTATTTGTGCTTTGTTTCCCATCATGACATTTCACTTATCATGCTGTAGGCTTGCTGGTAAAATGAAAAGGAACATTCTCAGTTAATTTACGTTGAGTCTTCGCTGGCATTAATGTTACCTCAGGTCATATCATCATCAAGCAGGAGAATCAGTTAGCCATCTGTATGTGTGTGTGCACATTTTTCATTACCTCTCTGTCATTATTGTGCTTGTTGCTCAGACATTAAATGCCTTAATCCGTCATTTTTTTCTGTCTCTTGCCCTCTGCCTCCTCAGACAGAGACTCAGTCAAGGTAAGTCCTTCCTTGGGTTCTTTCTATCACTGTAGGATTGTGTTTGCTGTACAGAATGATTTCTTCTCAGTCAACTTAGCTTGATAAATATTATGAAAGGGGAAAAAAACAACTATTCAAATAACTGATTTTCAGACCACAAATTTCGTCTTTATCAACATTCTCTACCAGATCATTATTCATTTTCATTCCTAACACACCTGCTGGTGGCCGAAGACTAATATTTGATATCATATGCAAAGAACATGAAGTGAATAAATTAGGACTGATATATGATACCTGCCTTCCTTGTTCTTAACTGTCTCAAGGAAAAACACAAAATCAGTCCAAACTATTATGATAAGTATGATATTGTCATAATGTCTTGGCATATACTTCCGCATTTATTTAAAACATTTGTGTCAACTTGTGATTACAAAGTCCATGTAAGTATTCCACATTTACTGTACAAAGTATTTCTTGCTGTTTTTTTGGAAATGGAGACAAAGATTAGGAAAGAAAAAAAAGAAACCCCAAGATGAGCAAAGAAAAAAAGCACACATGGAGGGAGGGCGGGAGCAACATGAGGCAACAGAGCAACATTACATCCAGCACTTGTAGTAATTAGTCCCTTAAGCGGAGCTTTTTTCCCAAGGCAAACATTTGGTTTGTTGAATACTCAATGAGCAGATTAGCATTTCTTTATTCTGGCAGCCCGAGCTCACACACACACACACACACACACACACACATGCATGCATGAGTTTTGTGGGTTGTGTGTGTTCTCTGGTGTTTTGGAGTAGGTGGAGACAGGAGGAATGTTTAATATGTTATCTTCTGCCCCCCATGTAGTGTATCCTCCTCCACACACACACACAAACACACACACACACAGAGAGCTAGAGGCACCACGATGGGAGCGATTAACAGTGTGTTGCACGTGTGCCTGTGTGTGCGTGTGTGTGAGGTCGTCAGAAATCAGTGTTAAAGATAGAAAGACCAGAATGATGAATGCCTTTCATTAACGCCCTGTGAGAACACACACAACCACACGCACACACATACACACACGGCCAACAGTCACTTCATGAAACCAATAAGCCCCTTGTCAGTGGTCTACAGTTGCCTTGGCAACAGTTCACAGGGTACAGTGTGTGTGAATTGCTTGAACATCTGTGCCTTAATGTCCTTGGTGTTAGCACCTCACACACTGATAAAGGTATGTGGGTGTAGACCTACATGTGTGTCTGCATACTTATTGTTGCCAATACAGACAGTCAATTATGTAGCTGTGGTGTGTTCAAGGACTGCACCTCCTCAGGCCTGTTAGCGCACTTATCAAATGAAGCTAATTGTTGGTTCAGTTGTCAATGCCATTGACTTTTGCTTTTCTGAGTATTTGTTATTTTCCCTTTTCAGTCCATTATGTAATGAAAGGAGATAGATGGTTTGGAGTGGTTGCAATTAAAAGATAAACGTTTTTTTTTAATTGCTATGACCTTAAATATAATCACTCAAGGTAAAATCACACTTCTCAAAGTCCTTGATTGTGTGCTATGTTTAGAAAGAAAGGTGGGAAATGAATTCCTAATGAGGCTTTCAGGTTTAGACTGACCTTTAAAATAAATCACCTGTTGAAAGTAACTGCAACTTGTTAGCGTGGTTGCTGCAGAAGCTATCAGACTTCTTTTTTCATACATTTTTGTCTTGTTTTTTTTCACTGGTAAATGTAGGTTTGCTGCTGCAGTCTGTTTCTTTGTTAATGTTGGGATGCTCTTTTTGAAAAGTCTGAATACACTGTACAGTCTGATCTTCCATGCTGCGTTGGCTGCCGAATAAGAAACAAATTGAGTCTAACGGAGGGATCAGAGGTGATAGATTACACCAACTGACTTGAACCCAGAGTAAAAAAGGTTTTATGGTGTGTACAAAGCCATCATTTTTGTGGGTTAGTGAGCAAAAGAAACTGAGAAACAAAGGGAATAAAATACAGGTTTTCCAAACAGTATACACTCTCTTCCTCACTCATGGTGGCAAACTGGAGATGTGTTGGTTCAGGGAAGGAAAAACAGAGAAGGTGGAAGAGAAAGAGAGTAAAGACTTAATATACAGTAATGGCACTGTTTATTACATTGTATAAATGGCTGTTCATTCAGAAGCTGTTGCTTTTCAATTGTATTTTGGCATTGCCTTGTTGAAATAGAAATGAAGACGTTTGCATTTAAATTTTCTTTCTGCCATTTAGGCACTTCTCATCCATGTTGGCAAAAAAGCTGAGGTTCAAAGTTACTCATATCACATAAACGCATAAAAATCACTGTGTTTTCTTTTAGCGCCGTGATACATTATCATGGCCATTTGAGCAATTGAACAATGAAATTAATTATTTTAAAAGACATTTTGGGGGCCATGGTAGCCGAAAGGGTAGAAAAGTGAGCTTGTGGCCGATAGGTTGCGGTTCAATCTTCGGACTGCTAGGGTAAATTTGGGTGAAAATGAAAATGAAACCGAAAGAGCAACTCTCTCAGGACCACAAATGACGTGCCCATGTCCTTAACCTCCAACTTCTCATGTGGAGTTGCTCAAATCCCATTAGATCAGGCAGCTTCCAGATTTGAACCGTGTGAGTGTGAGCAGGGAGATCCTGAAAAAGGAGAGCGATCAGTGATCAGGACTCTGAAGCTAGCAGGAAAGATTGTATCCGACCTCTATCGCCCCCCTCACGCCACAAGAACACACAATGACACTGACTTGTCCTGTCCCATGGACACTCCACATTACATTAAACATCCACCTGGAGGATTGCTGACCTTGACTTAATGGTACTTAACAATATTAATATACACAAGAGAAGCTTTATCATTCAGGGCTTCTCATTATTGGAGAGACATGAAAGAGTCAGACTGATTGCGAAACTGAAGTTGAGCAAAACATTGGAGGTTAGAGGTATCATAATCTGGAGTTGCAGAATCGATTTGAAATGGGAGGCAAATGTAATTATGATGTGCTGGTAAATGAATGCTTCCACCCCGCCACACCACACGGTTCTTCATACCCACAATGCTTGTACTGCCGACAGAACCTTCATTTGTCTCTGCAGAAAAATTAATTTACCTTGATGTTTTTGAAAGAGCTAATTTGCAGGCTAATTAATCTAATCAGTCTTGAGAGAGAGAGAGAGAGAGAGAGAGAGAGAGAGAGGCTCAACCTGCTCTGTCTCACTCAAGAAGTGACACACACCTGTAGACACTCTGACATCTCAACATTGTTTGCACATACGGTGTACTAAAATGTAAACAGATACAAGTGCTGCCCGACTGCACGCGTGCGCACACACACACACACACACACACACACACACAAACTGAACATCACTCCTCCCCCACAGAATCTTTGTCATCAACACTTGCAGCACGGCAAAGGGCAGTGGAAAGGTTACAAGCGTGAGTTAGTGGAAAGGTCGAGTTAAAGGTCCTGCTTTATTTTTCTTCTCTCTGTCCGTCGTCTGCTGGGTAAGGAGCGCCTCCCAATGAGAGAGAGAGAGACAGAGAGAGAGAGGGACAGGCGGAGCAAGAGGGGAAATGTTTAGTTGACCTTATTTTGATCTTCGCTTCTCAAAGAGGTTTAATCCTTCAGTAATGGTATTGAAAGGATGCCATATTTGATTAAGAAAAGAGAGACATCAGTGGAACAACTCCTCCTCCCCCTAATTTCAGAATAATGCTGCTGAGTTCAAGCCATGATGGTGCAGTCAAACTGTCAAGGATGCAGCGTTGTTTTGGCATTGTATGGATGCAGTGAAAATTAAATGGTTTTGACAGGCAGGGGAGTTTTTAAAGTGATGTGTAAATCCAGCCGTGGAGTGGATCGCTGTCATTTTGTGTTTGCACTGTTTGCATTGCTGTCTGGCTGCACCCTTACTTCCAGATTTAGTTCAAAGCAGAAGTCATGACACATTCGAAAGATTTAGAGCATTTAAGTTGTATCTTACTTTTCACCCTGTCCTGGTCTGGGCATACGATGTAAGTAATATTTCTTAACCTATCAGGGTCTATAGAAAGAAAAGGAAAGTCCCATCTCCCTCAGCTCACCCTTCACTGTTCTTGTCTCAGACTGCATTCATTCAGGAGCCACGTTATGAACACACACAGGGGACTTTTGTAGCACGTCCAACACATCTTTAACCTTAGGACTTCTGTAGAGTTCACTAGATATTTTTAAATGGTAAGCTATGAAGTAGACACAATATATACCAGTGTCAGTAGAAATAAATAATGATTGAAGGGCCCCTGCGCCCAATTTCCTTTGATTCTTTTGGTATTAAAGGGTTGCTTCACCCAAATTACAAAATAAAAACTCTCTTCTGGTATGTATTCATGCAAATGGTTTTTGTTTTATTTGCCAAGGTTTTGGGAGATTCTGCCTTTCTGCCTCCACACAATACAAAAGGAAATGAATGGAATTTCGTTGGTGGATTTTGCTGCTTGCTTAAATTTAAAAGATTCAAAAGCAAAATGTCAGTGTCAGTGTGACTCTGAATAATTCACAGAGCACGCTGTCAACTGCTTTCAGTGGGACTGTTTCTTTGGTTGAAAGTAGTTTCAAGGAAAACTGTTTTAAAAACTGCTTCTAAGACATAGATAGAAGATAAAGATGGTAACAATAAATTTAGATGTAGATGATTACCAAACATGAATGTTTGGTAATTGGGACACTTAAAGCGTTTCCTCAATCCAGGGACATTTTTAGACACAATCCTGGCCAGTGCATACTGTGGCTTTGGTCTTTTAAGAAGAATCTCCTTTAAGTATATGGTTCTCGTTTCTTCCAGAGCTCATCTGTGTCTCCTTCAGCCAGTTTTCGGACTGGAGAGAAGCACAGGAGTTCCAACGATTACTCTTCCGACAGCAAGAAACAGAAGACAGATGATAAGGAGCTGGCCTCTACACGCTATGTGAGTGAACATGCATAAGTATGTTTTTTGTTTTCTTTGTTGTTTCTGTAGGAAAGACAATGAAAAGGTGTTTAATTGTTTTGTAATTGTATGGCTTCTGTACTATATTAACTTGAAATTAAAACTGAAACTTAAAATTGAATCCAGACTCAAATATTCACGATTTTAGAGATGAAAGAGGAGTGCCAACTTTCTAATATAAAATCCACAACAAAGCAAAGGCAGCCTTTCCGACAGTATGTGTCGTGATCATACTTGAGCCACATTCAAACCCACGCCTTTTTCTTCTTCTTGTTTTTTTTTTTTTGGACAGTTGGCAATTGAAACACAGTGAGCGAGACACCTGACATGGCAAAGGTTGCAGCTGAGATTTTAACTCAGTATGTTGCCGTTTATGGCTTGTACCTCCGCCAAATGAGCCATCTGGATGCTATACAATGAATCCATTTTGACCACTTTATATGATAATTAAAAAATATAAAAGGAACAATGCCAGAAGAATGATTAAAATAGCCTTTATTACCTTCTCGCAGAGCAATAATTAAATAATTTATTTTATGATTGCCCTTGCCTGACTGTATGTGTAATTTCTATTTTACTTGCAATTAAAGAAATGGGATATTGAATGATAAAAGCGCTGATTATCTGTATTTTATATCTTTATCTGGTTTACACTTAGTAGCTTGTGTAAATCTAGCACAGAAACTGTTTCAAAATGTTTCCACCACAGAGTGAAAGTTTGTGTCTATGTGTCCATCCCAGGAAAGTGATGGAGAGAAAAGCGATGACAACTTGGTAGTGGATGTCTCCAATGAGGTACAACACAGTTTAGCAGCGTGGCGTCTTTTGTGTGAAGAAATATGTCCGCCTGACTCTCTTGCCTTTGTCTGTGCTCACTCAACACAGGATCCAGTGTCTCCTAGACCAAGTCCTGCCCACTCACCACGGGAGAACGGGTTGGACAAGCGTCGCCTGTTGAAGAAGGATGCTCCGCTGAGTCCTTCTTCCATCGCCTCCTCCAGCAGCACACCATCATCCAAATCCAAAGAGAATAATTTGGTGAGTCATTTGCGTAAATATAGCTTTCTGGTCTTCCTTGTCATTGCGTCTCTTGGTAGTTTTCTATTTTTAGGCATTCATAAAAATGTAATCATTGTAAAGTAAGGTATAGAAGGGAATGAGTTTGGTGTTAAAGAAAGCAAAATGTAGAAAAAGGGGAAAAACCCCTTGATTATACCAGGTGCATAATGCGTCTCAACACTTCTATATATATATATATATATATATATATAGAGAGAGAGAGAGAGAGAGAGAGAGAGAGAATTTTATGAGTCACATACTCAAACCGTGAATGGTTCCTATGTTATTTAAATATTTCTGCTCTGCTATTAAATTTGGAAATGGTTGCATATGTCTCTAAAACGTTCTGCTAAGAGACAACTGCTCCTACTGAAGTCATAGTGTTTAAACTTCCTGTGATTAAGATGATTTTGCTTTGTAGAATGAGAAGTCCACAACACCTGTGTCAAAGTCCAGCACCCCCACATCCCGCTCCGACGCCCCAACACCCAGCAGCACCACCACCCCGGGCCTGAGGGCCGCACCCAGTAAACCGCCAGGAGTCGAGACGCTGGGTGAGTGTTGCTAACAGAACATAAAACCTCTCTGCATGCATCAGTGAGATAGTGGATATGAATCAGTAAGAAGCTTGACTAAAATTGATGTTTTGTAAAAGTGAAAAACATGTCACCATAATCCAGTGTAGGCAGAAATAAACCTATAAGATTAGATAGAAATATATCCCGAAGGAAATTCTATGGCTTACTGTTGTCATTAGCGCACAGCTATTATTGTTTTAGTATGTGCTAAAAAGCCCATTTTGAGCAATAACATCATAATGTTTGTAATTTGATTACTGTCCAGCCAAATACAGAATATGGTAGCTGTATGAGCTCAGTCTCTACTCTACCTGGGGTGTGTGAAGACTTTAATGGGAGCGTGAACCAAAACCATCCTCTCAAAAACATTGCCACACAGATCAAATAGGCTCTCTAAATGTCACAAATTTCACACCTTGTATCAGACAGTGTTTTGTCTTGTAGCTCCTGGTCTCCGTACGCCGTTAGCCGTGCCCTGCTCGTACCCGTTTGGAATGGTTCCCCACCCGGGCATTAACGGAGATCTGAGTGGAGCAGGAGCAGCCTACACCGGCCTGCATAACATTTCTCCACAGATGAGTGCGGTGGCTGCTGCTGCAGTGGCAGCTTACGGACGCACGCAAGTGGTACCTGAACACACACATACACATTGTAGATGTATACACATACCAACACACTCAGTCAGTGTTGCCTGTCAGGGATTGGTAAACAAACAAACAAACAAAAAAGGGGCAGTAGCAACTTAAATGGGGCAAAATAACATCAAGTCATACAGTTTGTAATGTTAAGCATTCTAATCATTTGCCTACTGCTGCTGCTGCTTTCAAGTAGAATTATTTTTTTTACATGATCTTTATGACCGCATTTACAACTGTTGACTACATATGTGTGATCGGAAGAAAATATAGTTGTTAACATGTCAAACAAATGAAAAAATGTATGGATGGTGGAAAAGGTATTATTTTCTCGGGTAGCTAGCAGAAAGTTATTTGGTGATTTGCAGGTAAAAAACATCAAGGTTGAAACCAGACAAAATTGTGTTGAAAAAGAAAGTTTTTTGAGATGCTTAACCTGTGTTTTAACACTGTAAATACATTTCAGTTGACTATAATGTATTTGTTACTGTATGTTTTAAATAGTGCCATTTAAATGCTCTTAAAACAACATTTATAACTTAGATGTCTAAAAAATGTACTTTTGTATTTCAACCAAATTTTGTCAGGAACTATCCTAGACATCTTTGACCTGCTTACAGCATCAGGGCTTTGTAGTTTATGGTGCGCTAAATACAGAAAACAGCATTCAGGTTCAGGTACAGGTTCACATACAGTAAGCAAGCTGCCGAAGCCAGTTCATATTTTGTTTTAAAAGATTCATCCTAATCTAAACATGCTGCCTGCCACCAGATTACCTTCTGGGAAACTTTTCTACAGAGTAGAGTAACAGAGACGTAGATAACCATCATGATACCAGCTACAAACGTATCTAGTATTTGTGTTATTTGTTTGATGTTGAATTGTTTCTAAACTTATTATTAACTTATTCCCTAGGTGGGATTTGATCCTCACCACCACATACGTGTCCCTGGCCTTCCTCCCAACCTGTCAGGAATTCCTGGTGGAAAACCGTATGTTTTCCTCTCAAATTACAGCAACAACGTTTAATAAATCAACTCTCATTTCCTCTTCTTTGTCATATTAACATTTACCTTTTTCTTTCCTCCAGAGCCTACTCCTTTCATGTGAGCGCTGATGGACAAATGCAGCCTGTGCCTTTTCCTCCGGATTCACTGATCGGCCCTGGCATTCCGCGTCACGCACGACAGATCAATACTCTCAGCCACGGGGAGGTTGTGTGTGCCGTCACCATCAGTAACCCGACGCGTCATGTCTACACCGGCGGCAAGGGCTGCGTCAAGGTGTGGGACATCAGTCACCCGGGCAACAAGACCCCTGTATCCCAGCTGGACTGCCTTGTGAGTGCACTGCAGTGACACTTACATACAGGACACATGCAGGATGTGTTTTCCATTGTGTTTTTCAGTAAAGAATGTACTTCTGTGCGTCTGTCACATCAGAACAGAGATAACTACATCCGTTCCTGTCGGCTACTTCCGGATGGGCGGACACTTATTGTCGGGGGCGAGGCGAGTACTTTGTCAATCTGGGATTTGGCTACACCAACTCCCCGAATCAAAGCTGAACTAACTTCGTCAGCGCCTGCGTGTTATGCCCTTGCCATCAGCCCCGACTCAAAGGTCTGCTTTTCCTGCTGCTCTGATGGAAACATAGCCGTCTGGGATCTTCACAACCAGACTCTGGTTAGGTATGGAGATGGGGAGCGGGATTTGTGAGGGTTTTGATTAGTGCTGGACGGTAAACCAAATTTATTGGTTTACCATTCATCTGAATGTTGTACCAACTTAAAACCAGTTGTCAGAACCTCATACAATTAAACTGAAACCAACCAACCAATGACATCTAACCGTGAGCTACACCAACATCTCAGTCTAAGTTCACAAATGATTGGTCTGCTATACTTTGCAAGACTGTCATCTATAATATATATCACATTAACTTCTTAACCTCAAAAGATAACTTACCCCTGAAATATCACTTATATATAATATTTTTTATTCATTTGATTATGAAGTGTACAATTTAAATTTTTATGTATTGTTTACATAATCTGTGTATATATTTGACATTGTGAATATTGCTTCATACCCATTTTTTATGCTCCCCTTGCATATTATGTCCCAAATAATTTGTTATGTCCTTCGTGTAGTTTTAACCTGTACAACAGTGTGTTACAAAGTGCCTAAAATGTTGGCTGAACTGCCATAAATATGTTATATATATTGCTATATTGCAATTATAAAGAGTATTTATGTGTAATTTTATATACTTACTGGAATGTGTGTCTGCTGAGAAGACAAGTAATAGCTCCCACTGTGTAACCCCAAATCATGACTTCATCTGCCATCAGTGGCAGTGTGATCAGTGGTGAAATCAACCATTGTTAGCAAACGTCACTGTCAAAGAATTTCTGACACATCGCTCTATTGGTCCTTTCAATAGACCAGTGTTTCTCACCCATGTGTGATGAATTCCAGACATGTTTAGGTTTAAATTAAGCCACATTTTTTCCATCAAGCCATTAAGTCACTTTATCATCTCAGGGTCAGTGATAAGTTTTCCCGACAGTGGCAGAAGGTGCGTTAATCGCTGCTGTTTAGTGTATGATTTGTACTCAGGATGTATTTCGGTGTATTCATGTGCCTTCAATCTGGCATTGGGTGCTGACTTTAATGGTTGAATTAATGGCTGATCTTAACACGTTCTTTCCTTTTGCTATCTTAAGACCATCTTCTCTCTCCAACACAAGATGCAAATACATACAGTATGTATGTTCTTTGACTTGATGAACACTTTGCTGTTCAGTATAGGGTTTTCTGACTCTGTGTCTTTCTGCAGGCAGTTTCAGGGCCACACCGACGGAGCCAGCTGTATAGATATCTCTAATGACGGGACCAAGCTGTGGACTGGAGGCCTGGATAACACCGTGCGGTCCTGGGACCTGAGAGAGGGACGGCAGCTGCAGCAGCACGACTTCACCTCCCAGGTATAAGACACTTCTTCCACACAAACACACTCTTTCTATTATTGTTAGAACTATGCCTACTTGCTCTTGCTTCCTGAGCTCCAACACCTACTTATGAACTGCTGACTGTCTGTATATGGATCATAGTTTGTGTAGAGGTAGTGTATAAGTTGCAGACAGGTTTGGTTTTGCACTGCTTTTTTATTAGTAGTATTTGATGGTTAAAGTAAAAGGGACAGATTGTTGAAAGGTGTGCATCTCAGGACCAGTCACAGCCATTTGCGGTTTGTGTGATTAAGCTCTCTGGCTTTGCTTTATTGCAGTAATGTACAAGCTCAGTTCAGAACATTTAACCCACAATAAAGGCCATTCTGAGCCCTGGTTTTCTGCCCCGTGCTTGAATACCTTTAACACTAATAATACTGGCAGTTAGAATTTAGTTTTTTCAGGTGAGGAGAAGAGCGGCAATAATAGACCATTACTGCAATTTTTCCTGAAAAGACCCATTTCACAATCTCAGTGTGCACAGGGCAAGCTGAGTGTGCATTAAAGAGATCTCAGAGAGGGGATGGCAGACATGGACCATGGAGTGCTTATCCTATCCAATAATATCTAATTTATATAGCTGAAAAACCCCCAGCATCAGCTAATTTAACACCAACAATTATTTTGCGTTTACCAGGTGTACTAAGCCATCAGGTGGATTTCCTGATTGTTTTTTTGGTGTCCATCATCTGGAAAAATATTTTTTGATTTGTTAAGTTTGTTTCAAAAATGAGAATTGACTAAATCATTCACCCACCTCATGGCATGATGTGTAATTGCTTTTTCCAACAGTCCTGCAGGAATTTTATATACCTAATATGATTTTAAAAACTGAAACAGCCATCTGTTTTGACAGATTATTATGGCAAGCACCGAAATGTTTATGGCGGTGTAGAAAAGCATATAGTGGACTCTTGCCAGCATCCATGGATATGTTAATATCAATGCCCACCCCCACAGACAAACACAATCTTTATGCTCTGAAACATTTCTAGAGTAGACTAATATAACAGATGATTATTTATTATATTTATATAAACCATTAGAGAAGTATCTACCATAACTGATGGTTTCACTGCAGATCTTCTCACTGGGATACTGTCCAACGGGCGAGTGGCTGGCAGTGGGGATGGAGAACAATAATGTGGAGGTCCTACATGTCACCAAACCTGACAAGTACCAGCTCCACCTGCATGAAAGCTGTGTGCTCTCACTCAGATTTGCTCATTGTGGTAAGAATCAACAAATCTATTAACATAATTCTGTCTTAGTATTTTTGAAAAGCTCCTAAAGTAAGGAAATGTATGTATGTACCAAGTGGCTTGTTTATCAAATGATGTGTGAACTGATTAAAACAGTTGATGACTCACTTTAGCATGAACTATATTGTGTCATATTATGCACTAGAGAAAATAACAAGTTGTAGTAGGTTAATAGAGCCAAAGGATGTGGGAATGTGACTGGATGCGGCAGGTTTGTGTAGGAGAGGGGGAAAATAAACATAAATGTGATTACAAAATTTACATTGTAAATGAAGGTGATTTTCAATTGAATGCATTGTATGGCCAGAAATCCCGCTGGACCAATTTAGAAGACATACAAATCCAAACCAATAATAACAAAACTTCTGGATGAGCAGGAATCAACAAACATAGTTCTAGCTAAAGCGTTAGCATGGAGCAACAGTATGAATTATCTATAGGAAAAGATGGATGGATGATTTACATTGTCATCACTTCATGGATAAATTGACCAACAAGCCAATCTCCCAAAATTTGGATTACAACTAACTAGTAGTTGTTTTTTTAAACCACCATTTTGTCTGTCAGTACTGTATTGTACATACGGTAACTAATGAAGGATCTTATCAATCTTCTCATTATAATATTGAGCCCATATTGTCAGTATTTGAGCATTATATGCTGCTATCTTGTTATCCCATTAAGTTTGGATCAATTTGCCCTCCAGTGGTTAAAATAAGAAGCTGGTGTTCAGTTGGATTGGGCTAATCATATAAATGCAGTTACCACTATGCTAGATATAAGTGATCTACTCGACATAAATATGGTACCATATATACATGATATAGTTGTTTAATGCCCATATTTGTTAAGAGTAATAAGTCAAGACAAGCTTTGTTTGAGATATTTGTTTACCAATTGATTAACTTTCATTTGAATTAGCAGCTGAACCCTTGGACCAGAAAATGCCATACGTTCTGCTTTAATGTGTCAGTGTTCATTAGCATCAGTGTCCGTTAGCATCACCTGTGTTTTGGCAAAAGCTTTAATTTAAAAAAATCTGATACCAATATCAGTTTCATGGGAATGCATGGCTCAGTTAACTAAGTGCCATTTACAGTTAGTGTTAAGCACTTCTAATCTGAGTCGCTTGGGTAGTTGAGACATTGTTGGGGCAATTTTTTTCTAGATGTGGCTTAATGTATTTTGCCGTTCTCTGCAGGGAAGTGGTTTGTGAGCACAGGAAAAGACAATCTGCTCAACGCGTGGAGAACCCCATATGGAGCCAGCATATTTCAGGTAAGTGTGGAAGAATGTACCACAAGAACATAGATGACAGGCAGCTGAGAGGCCAATTATAGTATAGTCTAATAGCCAGGTGGTTACAGATTTTACTGAAAGTTCTTTGAGCAAGACATCAAAAATCTTTCTGCTCACTGAATGAATCTTTTGTGGGAAGACAGTGAATTTAAAAAATATACACAGAAAATCAGAAATCTGAAAAGTAATAATTTTGCATGCTGTTCTCTTATTCTGAATTTATCAAGGACACAAATATTTAAACAAGGAGCTTTCATCAGGGTGTTGAAAAGACAAGACAAAGCAGTGGAAGTGTACATGTGACTACTGAAATAAAACATGTCAATTCTTCTGTTCAGCACCTGTCTGTCACACACACAGCCTTCTTGGGTTTTTCTCAGTCTTTAGCTTACATTTATATTTACATTTTATGCACGTTTGATTCCCCATACAGTCAAAGGAGTCGTCCTCAGTGCTGAGCTGCGACATCTCCATAGATGATAAGTACATTGTGACGGGCTCAGGAGACAAGAAAGCGACTGTCTACGAGGTCAACTACTAGGGAGGCTGTGGTGATTACAACATCAATGCCATCCTTCCATCCATACACTCACCCATGTACAATTTTTAATGTGTATAAAATTGATTTGAATGGAACTGACCAAACAGACTTTCTTGAACAGTGACCTTTTTACCTTTTAGCTGGTTGTGGATTAAAACAAACAAGCAGAACCAAGCACAGAGATTTTTTTTTTTCTTTTGAGTGTTTTTTTGTTGTGAGGATGAGTGAATGTTCATGTGCATGGAGAGGATGCTGTTGCCAGATAACATTCCTTTACACTTTTAGCCCTCTGCTATACCAGTGTTTAAAATAAAAAGCTGGTGTTCAGTTGGAAAGTGCAGCACTGTTCAAGGATTTTACCACATTGTATAGTAACAATGTTTTGCATCCTCAGTGTAAAGAGCGATTTGAAACAAATGTAAATATCACAAGAGAAAAAGTGGCAGTGATGACAGGCTCTAGAAGTTTCTCTTCAAAACTTTGTGCCATTGTTGTCATCATCTGTTCAGAGTAGACGTATCCCACATCCTGATACACTGCTACTACACTCCAAAGCAACACAGCAGCGCAGAGGCAGCCATCATGCACACGTTAATATGTAACTGACAATAAGTATATCCTAGGCTTTATTTAGTCAATAACAACCTTGCATAAAATATATTGTTTTCTGAGTTTTGATAGAGCTGACAGCTTTTATTAATGTAGAGCTCTAAAGGCAGTATTGTTATTTTTTTATATTTTGATTCTGTATCATTTTTGCCTTCAGGCACTGTATGTCAATACCTCATACCAAATTTGCCTTTTATTTTTTATTGTCAAGACATTTGTTATGTTTGTCTAATTTGGTAAAATCAGCCTTCCATTTACAAATGCATGCCACCAGTGGTGGAAATGGCCACATTTTTCTGGGGAAACCATTCTTGGGTAGGGGTCTGGAAGTTTATAACATTATCTTAATCATAGAAAAAAATAGGGTGCGTCATTAGTGAGTTTACTGCTTCCTTTTGGATTTTAATGTGTCAGATACGCAGGACGCGTACCTATCACCCAGTCCCTCGCAACTACTAACACAAATTCAACAAATCCCAGTAAATTTAGCGCAATTTTGACCAATCCACAGAACTTTCCCCACAAATTTGAATTGAAAAAATGATCGCCGTTTCCCTCAACATGCAGTCATACGTCCGCAAACTCACTTCCTTGTTTACAAGACGCAGCAGACGTGTGTGGTAACAATGTCTCACATTTGCTTAGAAAAATAACAGCAATTACAGGAGTATTGTGTTCAAACATAAAAGGAAATTTTCTATTGACAAACACTGCCACAAAACATACCCCGAGAATGGAAGAAACGCACAGAGGACATCAGACGAGACAAATCAATATGACACAGGTTGTTGCATCCCGGACAATTGCAAGCGCTGAAAGAATCTTGGCAGGGTGTTTTAAATATGCATGGTAAGGGTTAGGGTTATCCTGGAGGTACTGTTTAATGATCTACCTACATCTACCTATGCAGTTTTCACTTATTCCAACAATTTAATCGCAACCCCCCCCAAAAAACATTCGCAATCTTTTAGAAAAGCTGCAGCAAAATCAGGAATTTTTGGCCTCAGCAATCACAAAAAAGGCCCGTGAAATCCTGCAAGGACTGATCAACATAACTGCTTCCAGCAAACCTATTTAGAATAGAACAGATTTTTGTAATCTGAGCAGAAACGGCGTTTCCCCCTAACTTTTACTCCCAGAACGCCATTCCTGCGTGTTCACACCTTTTTCCACCACTGGTTGCCACCCTATCTCAGTGCTTTGTTTTTTTAGTCACATTAACAAGACAGTGGACTGATTACATTTAGCTCCAGGACTAACAAACAGAACCCACATTATGAAAACAGTGAGTTTGTCGTTAAAGTCATAGTTTGACATTGTGAGAAAACATGCTTAAATGCTTTCTTGAAGCGTTAGATGAGACAATTGATACCACTCTCATGTCAAAATGCTAAATATGAAGCTACGGCCAGGACAAGGTTAGCTTAGCTTAGCATAGAGACTGGAAACAGGAGGAAACCAAGAGCCTTGCTCTGTCCAAAAACAAAATGTGCCTACTAGCTTGTTATGACTCCAGGAAGTCACTGCTCCTAGTCATGAAATAGTCTGGAACCTTACCCCCATGAAACCATAACTTTTTTTTTTACGCCTTGGGTTTTGTACTGATTAAACAACATATAACGTGTTAATTACAAGCTTTAGAGGTGATGGTGAGAAGATTATTTTTTACCTGTGTGGAGAAGCCTGGCTAGCTGTTTCACCTTGTATTACGATTTTAGTTGCTTTTATGAAACGAGCTCCTGGCACAAGGTCAATTACAGACAGATCTCCTCCCCTTCCAGTTTTCATTGATATTACTTAAATTTATTGTTTACACTCTTTATTCTAAGCTAAGATAACCAGCTGCTGGCTGTAACTTGACATTTACCATTCAGTCATGAGAGTTGTATTGATCTTCTCATCTTACTCTCAGCTAGGAAGCAAATAATCGTATTTCCCAAAATGTCGAACTAATCCTTTAAATGCAGCTTGTCTCTATGACCTTTGATATTTATTTTCTACCTACTGTATGTATTCATTTTTTTACATTTATTTTTCTCGTAACTCTCATAATTGTGAGTGAGGTGCGAGTTCAGTCTATGTGTGTTGTCTGTGTGTGTGTGTGTGTGTGTGTGTGTGTATATGTGTGTGTGTGTTTTGACCGTGTGGGCATTGAACAAACGAACTAACCGGATTGCCCTCAGTGCCCTTACTATTGTCTGACCTTTGCACTTGGTTCTGCCCCCTCAGTTCAGACTCCTCTGGATGCTCACTGGATTCTGCCTGACAGATTTCAGTAAAACTGTTTGGTGTTTGGAGTTTGGTGTTTGGAGGTCAACCAGCCCTTCATTTCCTGCCTGGATTTTTTTGTTTGGACCTTTGGACTCTTCTCTGAAAAGCAAGTGGTCAGCGATATGCTCATGATTTCTCTTGGATTTACTTCTCTTGGCTTGTAGAAATAACACAGTGCCTTTATGCTGCTACGCTTCTGACTCCATTTCGTCCTGCTGAGCATTCAGCTACACAGAGATGAAAACGTGACGGACTGTTGGAGTGGATTTTAAAATTTACTGTTTTTATGTGTACATCTTGCAACATTTAAGGATGGATTTTAGCAAAAAGATCAGCAAATTAACACAAATGGTGAAAATGGTTATCCAGCCTGATTTGTATCAGTTGTCTGTCGTCCACTTTGAAGTAACCAGGACCAAACTTTTCACCTGCTTTAGCCGAGCACATGCACGTGAAATACACTATTCATAGCTGCTGCTGTTTCAGTCTGATTGTTTGAAGCATGGTGCCATTAACTGTTTCTGAAGCTACTCTATTTTTCACTTTTCTTTCTGCTTTCAAGCTTTGTTCTTGTTGCTAACGCGTTTCTGCTGAACAGCTAATATCTCATGCCCAAATGACATCTACAGGGAAACATCCAAAAACACAACGCATCAGTAGTTATTAGCAGAGGTGCTAGAGTCTTACCCAAACTGTAACCACATAACCTGTAACACCAACCTTCCCTAATCCTAACCTTAAGCAACCATTTTAAATGTTATAAATAAATGTAACTATCTGGAGGCTCATTCTTAAACATGGTCATTTTAAACTGAGTGCCTAAACCCAACCTCCTGGTTTAGCTACTGCACATAGCCCTTGTGGGATCCATAATTCTGCATCAATGAAAGGTAATTTTGAGATCCGCTGAGGGATTTAGAAACAGAACTGTATACAGACTGATTAATGTATAAAATATCATGTGTATTGTTATTTCAATCCCAGAAGTTGCATATTATATAGCTTTAACTTCCAGTTCTAGACCCTTTGAGTGTAAGAAGAGACCCTCATCCTGCAAATCAAGAAGGAAGCAATGAACAGAGAGAGATTTCCTGTGCTTTTACTGTTCATGGGGTTAAAATAATAAGAAGGCTCATCTCATGTGCTAGAACATGTTATTGTCATGTTATTCTCAGTGATGTGCTGTAGCCCAAAACCTATTTCGCTGGCTCAGTACAGTTCTTCCTTTCAGTTACCTTTCACAAGGGCAACCTCTGTCAGTAATGACTGCCTTATTGAAGATCAAATGGACAGACATGGCCAAATTTAAACTGATCTGCCTGAGACCTGCCTACCTGTCTAATTTTACTGTAAGGTCTTAATATTTAAATACAGATATTAAAATCTGAAAAAAAGATTGGATTTTGCAAGTATTAACTCTAGGTTTCTGAGCATATCTTGAAGCTCTTTGCAGAAAAAAAGGCTTTATACTTTATTGCACTGGAAAGAAGTAAAATGCCAAGGAGAAGCATATTTGAAGATGGTCACAAATTTTTCTAATTTTCTTTATAATATGTTTTTTTTTGCAGCTGTGAAACTGACAGATCTCTATCTGAGTTAACGAAACTACTGATAATAACTGTACTGGTGTGAATGCAAAGGGACATTTTGCAGTGAAGCCACCTCTTAAAGAGAAAGTCTCATGGGTTTGATACAGCAGAGACCCTTCGGAAGGTATTACACTGTAAGGACTGATATTTTAGTAATTTCTTTAACAGCTTCACTGAGTGACACTGTACATTTTGAAGGACTGCCCAAGATATTGGTTTGATTTTCACAGTGCTTGCCTTATTGTGCGATTTCTTTCTAAATCTGAAACATTCCTGTGTTTACTTCAGTCAGCTATAAGCTTTCAAATTAAAGTGACGATTCATTCATCTTGCTGTCACTCATGGCTACGTTTTCTGTTCTTGAGTCATAAAATATGTACCTTCTGTACTAAATAGCTACTGTGCAACTGCAAATCCCAAATAATAATGGACAAATATAAAATACACTTTGGTTATACTTGCGCTAATGTCAAGAGTCAAATCTCAATGTTACTCGTCTCCGATTGCTACAAGTTAGCTGGTTAACGTAACCTGATACAGAAAAGATGTTACGTACAGTAATGATGTGTAGAGCATTTAGCTTGACTGAACTCATGAAGGTATTATACATTTACTGTAAACATGTAATAATTCAAGCTTACATTGGAAAGAAACTTCCTGTTGCTAGTTGAGCTTTTTTTCCCCCTCTTCAATACAAAATGCCTTTGC